AAGTTAATAAAATTATTAAGAATATTATACTATAATGTATATATATAATACTTATCTATTCAATTTAAAATTAAATAATAAATTTGAATTTTAAAAATAAATTTGCTATTATACATATATATTAGTTACATAAATATTGATTACATAAATTCTAATTTTAAATTTTTAAAAGAAGATAATGAATGTGTTCTTTTAATAAAAATTTAACGAATGCATAAAAAAATATAAAAATATTTAATGAACAAAAAAATAAAATATAAAAATATTGTGCAGCGCACGCGCTTCTCACTAATTCATATATATTATGATTCATTAAATTCAAATGGATTAAACAATGAAATCTCTTCTAATGTAGCACTTATAGTGCTCCAGTTATTGGCAAATCTTATTTGTAGACTTTTTTTTCGTCTTTCATATATGCTACTTAGTACAATTTTTCATATCCTTCCCTTTGGATTCTCCATAAGTTTTATAATCTTTTCATTAACTCCACATTGATTGATTGGCCTGTGAATATTTGAAAAATCAATTCAATATGTTAATAGTACAATAAAGAAAAATTGAGTGTTAAGATAATCGTAAATAATATTATTATCATTTCCATTTTTTACCCCTCCAACTACCGATATATCTAGTTTCCTTCCAAAAATATCATTATGTTTATGTACAAATAATTAGAGCTGTCAAAAATTGATCCGACATGACCATTCAACACAAAATAATTAGGTTTGGGTCAAGAGTATTGATCCAATTATATATGCGGATCAACACGAATCCGTCACAATAATAAATGGGTCGGATTAGAATTAAAACTTTCAACTCGAAATTGACCCGACAATCCGTTCATTATATATTACTATTAATTAATATATTTATTATATGTAATAATATTATTAATTTAATAAACATTTTTTTTAAAAAAAATACATTTAAACTAAATTTGAGCTCAATAATCCAGCCTAACCCAAAGTCCAATTCCAAATATATTAATATAATACAATTAATAATTTTTACTTTTTTTAAAAAAAAATAAAAAATAAACACACAGGTGCAACACATCACACACACCACACGTTTCTAACTTAATCAAACCCAAAATTGATTTAATTGACATTTATTTCCTTCCTCCGCGCTCAGTCAACTCGCATCTCCAGCTCAGTATCGAAGAGAAGAAAAAAAACCCTAATTGACTTCGCTTTTCGGTCTCGCCTTCGTTACGCCGCTGTTACATGCATCTCGCCTTTGTTGTGCCGTTGTCACACTGCGCCCACCTCCATTGCGCCGCCACGCACTCGGCCTCAGCTGCAAGTTTGCTCGCCTAGTTTGTTATTTGTGAGTATGTCACCCTTTTTTGTCTATATTGTTTTTTTTAAGTATAAGTTAATTTTTTTTTTTTAGTCTTTTTAATTTTTATTCATATTCTAATTATTCAAATTTTATTTTAATTTTAATTTTTTTTAATATTTCACTGTATAATGAAAGAACACAAAATATCTGGAAAATCCCCTATTATGCCGCTTGAATCCAGTGAGAAGATTGAGGAAGTCGAAAGTAATCAAGCAGCACAAGTTGCACTCAAACAAAAATAGAAAGTTAAGCTACAGACAACAGAAACTACATCAAAAATGTATAAACCCACTGGATGCCAAAGGAATTGTACTTCTATTGTATAGAATTTTTTTGATATTGTTGATAAAGCTGATGATCAAGGGCATATGATTGCTAAATGCAAAAAATATGGTAGTAAATATGTTGCTGAAAGTACCTATGAAACCGGTAATCTGCTTAGGCATCTAAAGACTTGTAAAAAATCTTTTGTTAGAGATATTGGGCAATTACTCTTGAAATATAATGCTTCAAGTTCAGCAGATTCTAAAATATTTAAGTTTCAACTTGAGATCTTCCGTGAATTACTTGCAATAACTATTGCTAGGCACAATCTTCCTCTTCAACTTGTTGAGTATGAAGGTGTTTGAAATTGTTTCATTTATTTGTGCCAAGAAGCTAATATCATTTCAAGAAATACCGTAAAAGCTGATATACTAAAGATGTATGCCAAAGAAAAATCAAAACTTTGTGATGTGTTGCAACAAGCTCCTTGTAGGATAGCACTTACTTCTGATTGTTGGATTTCTATTACTACTTATGACTACATTTCATTAACCGGTCACTTTGTTGATGTTGATTGGTGTTTGAGAAAAAAGTCTTGGCTTTCACTCTTATGCCTCATCCCCATACCGGTGTTGTTTTAGCTGAAAATGTATGCAATCTATTAAAAGAATGGGGCATTGAAAAGAAAATTGTGTCTATTACCTTGGACAATGCTTTATCTAATGATTCTTTACTGGATGGGTTAAAGTTTGATTTGGATTTATTATCTGATGGTAAGCATTTCCATGTTCGTTGTTATGCACACATATTAAATTTGATTGTACATGATGAATTGAAAGATGTAGATGAAGCTGTTGTTAAAGTAAGGTAATGTGTCAAATATTGCAATGGATCTCAAGGTAGAAAACAAAGGTTTTTTCATTGTGTTTAATACGTTGGACTTGAATATATTATAAGTCTAAGGCAAAATGTTCCCACACGTTGGAATTCCATTTATCAGATGTTAGATAGTGTGTTGTATTACAAGAAGTATTGGGTTCAGTTTAATACTATTATGGGCACTGATGTTATTCTTTATCCTCGGTACAAATATCAAATTATTGATTGAGTATTTAAGAAAATCTTTGAGGTGGATTATGACATTAAGTTGGAGTTGTTCAAAAATAAATTTTTCAGATTGTTCAATGAATATATTCATCTTCAACTTCTTCAACTAGTAATATTTAAATTGCTCATAGGTCCCATTCTCATATGTCGGTTGAACAAATTGTTGATGATGTTTTATTAAGGTAATTCTATCATTTTTTTTAATGATCTATTTTAAATTTCATATATTATAGCTCATGTTTATAAAATATATTTCTAATTTTTGTTGCATGCAGGATTTTGATCCTTTTTATAGTGATGAGTTCACTTCTTGTGGAAAATCAGAGCTGAAAAACTATTTGGAAGAGTCAAGATTAACCGGCACAAGTGACATAAATGTTCTGGAATACTGAAATTATCTTTAATTATTTAATTTGTGTAATTTTAATTTTAGAGTTTTTTTTTTTAATAGGTAAACATGTCGATTTTGTGTTAAATGGATTAACAGGTCATTTTCGGGTCGGGTTGTCTCACTTGACCCATTTAAAAAATTATTAAACATGTTAGTAGGTCATTTCGGGTCGTGTCAGGTTTTACCGAGTCGGATTCGTGTTGTGCGGTCTGACCCGTTTACATAAACGGGTCAATTTTGGGTTGACCTAATTGACCCATTTAAAAAATCAACCCGACCCGACCTGACCCATTGCCAGCTCTACAAACAACTTATATTTAGAAGCAAAAATCTTCGTTGCGCTCATGAACAAATGGCAAAACGACTTATATCTAGCTGAACAATCATTCTCAAGGGAATTCTTAATGGCGTATTCTCTTTCTATATTTGATTTTGTCTTGACATCCTTAGTCCCTCGTGGTAGAGTATAAATTTTAGGAATACGTTGAAGTTGTGTATGTCCTGTTTTTGCTAGGATATTCATTTGCCGTATTGAATGACAACACAAAATTTCAACATTTGTCAACATTTTTAAGTGCTTTATAAGTGCGTTGAACGCCTACTTTTTGTTGCGAAAAAAGTCGGTATAAAAACTTTTTGTAACTTGAGTATATGCACCGGTCAAAATCCAGTACAAACTCGTTACAAATAACCTTTTTATAGCGAAAAAATGTCATTTGTAACGATTTTAGAACCGCTACAAATGACATTTTTTTAGTAGTGAATATTGCTATGTTTTATTTAATAAAATAGTTATTATTTGTTATTTAAATTTAAAAAATATTCCTTTTGCTTTTATTTAACATTATATGTAAATATGTATATTTTTTTATTAAATATACAAATATTTAAAATGTTGCATAAATAATGAAAGATTTGGTAACAAGTGTCAAGTAGTATCATATTTGGTAAATTTTAAATATATTATTTGAATATATTTATCAATTGTATATTTTTATTTTCAATTAACAATGGGCACATTTATTATAATTGAATACGAATTTTAATAGATTTAATAAAAAATAATTGTATTTCCTTTTTTATATATATAATAAATAGTATAAAAGTAATATAATTTTCATAAAAAATGAGAATATATATTTTTTTTTATAACAAAAGAAAAATAAAATTGAACGAAATTATAAATACAAAAAAAAAAGAAAATTAAAAAAAATACTTGTGCATAATGTAAAGTTGGACTAGTTCTTTCATAAAAAGAATAAGAATGCTCCTTCTATATTATTAATTTTCTGAAATTTAAATTAATTGATTTCTCTAGATTCCCACGATCCGATGCAATATTGTTGAATTCTCTAGCCATTGTGAATGAGTGTTGGAATGTAAAAGAGATATGGATATGAGCAAGAAGATTTATAGACGAGCTATCGTTACAATTCATTTATGACATTTTCTGCCCAATTTTACACTTGAAATGTCTTTCATATGTTGTAATAACAATATAATACCAGTGATCATTTCAATATATGGTGCACTGTTTGGAACATACATTTCAATAAATGTCTTTCATATGTTCTTATAATAATCTCTCTAGCTAGCTAATTAAATTAATTGTATGGCTGGGGTTCACTTGTCCTACTCCAAATGTATTGTGTCCTTTTTATATCGATCAATCATCATCCGCCATGTCTATTTAAATTTTTTTATTTTATTAGTTTTTTTTTTTGTTTTAAATTTTTTATTTTATTAAATTTTTTTGTTTTATAAATGCACGTAGCAGATGGTGATTGGTTGGTATAAAAAATACACAATACATTGAGTGTAGGGTATCTGAACCTGTATGGCTGATAACGAGTCACACATACAATTAATAAGGCAAAGTAGATAGAATCCATTGATCAAACTCCAAAACATAAGAAAATACTCCATATAAAATTATATAAGCAATTGAATTGAATGCAAGCAATATTGCATGGATCCTATAGATATATATATATATATATATATATAGATGAAATGCAATGTAACGTAGGGCTCATGATCAATGGTGGCCTGGATTGTGGCTCATTAGCCATTTCCCTGTCAAGCCACAAGCAAGAGCCTCGGCGGCTACCGGTGTCGGGATGCGGACGCGGCGCGCACCCTCGACGAACACGGTCCCCATCCCCATATGCAAGTGCGGCTCGATGTGGCAATGGAACGCCCATGCCCCGGGATTATCCGCCACAAACCTTAACGCCGTCCACCCGTAAGGGTAAACCACCGCCGTGTTCCTCAGCGGCGGGTTCCTCAAGTTGAACCCCGCCTCGTCGACATCCCTAAACTTCCCCGCGCCGTACCCCAACACCCAAAAGTCGTGCCCGTGCAGGTGCCACGGGTGTATCTCGCTCACGTTTGCCTTGAGCACGTTCGCATTCTGCAGCACTACGTCAACCGTCGTGTTGAATCTAAGCACGTACACGCCGCTCCCGTACACCGCTGTCTGAATGGGAGCGGGCCTCGTGATATCGTAGCCTTCCTCGTCCCCGAACCGGTCCGGCGGGCCCTTGGGGTCGAAGGCATTGGGTATTCCATACTTAATGGAGCCCAAATAGGGCGTGGTAGGCAGCACTAAGGACACATTATTTATAGCCCACTTGGTGTAACCATCGATCAAATTCTGAGTGTTCAACAACACAATTCTCCTATGGTAATGGCTAGGAGGCTTGGGCGAGCCCTCGAGAGCGAGGATCTTGTTGGAAAAGGCTATACTAGCATCATAGTCATCCCACCGGGGGGCCACCGGAGGAGGCCGGGTAGGATGACGATGGTCGTCGTCGTAATTGAGTAGGGTTAGGGCGGGGGGTGTCTTTGGCTCCCTACCCCTAACAGTGATGGAAATAAAGTAGTTTTGAGAAGGGTTTTGGTTTGTAGTGAAAAGGACTGAATAAGTCTCACCGGAGTATATGTCCATATTGTCCACTGAAAATGGTTTAAGATAATTGCCATCACCTTCGACCACCACCAGCTTATGCTCCTGCATGTACATGAATTAATTAATTATTTATTTTACATATACCATTTACGCGAACCATGTCTAGCAAGTAAGATTTGGAGGCGTCGGAATTTAAATCCATGATCTCACGATCATGAGTTATTCTACCATAAGGTCATTATTTACGAGACTACTTCGAATATAATCTGTCATTTATTAGAATGCATTACTTTATTTGATATTTGTCTTAGATAAATTACAATCATCTTTGCAATTAAGTTTCAGTTTTGAATTTTACTTTTTAATAGTATTTTAATATAATAATTTATTAAAAAATATTGTTTTTTTATTACAAACAAACAGTAAGAATTGCATAGTGAAAAAAAGAAAAAACTAAAATTGGGAAAGAACAAAGGGTGATTTACTAAAATATACTATATATATATATTAGTCTTCTATGTAATTTAAAAAATATTATCTCCTTTACCATTACTTTTTCTACTTATTCAAGTAAATTAATTTATGACAATAGAATATTTTACTTTTTATTTATTTATTTTTTATATTATTTTATTATTATTTTTTTTTAATATTTGTGTTCGACCAAAAGTGCATAAACATCCCGAATGGATGGGGAGTGTATGCCTCAAACACACAATATTTCAATTATGTGACGGAATAGTAAATTTTGCAGTAAATCAAGAAAAATATAACATAATTTATCATATTTTGTTAGTCAAAATATGATATTCTTTATAAATTTAAAACATTATTGAATATTTTATGTAAAATACTAATTGTGTTATCAATACTGTAAAGTTCACAATATATAAAGAATTTTAAATAAAAAAATGTTTAGGAAAAAAACAAGAATTTACCACCTACCAGGCGAAGGCCATGTGCAGTCAGGACCATTGGTCCCGGATCAAAACTCAGTGCCGCAGCGGCCACACTCATGTATAGATACACAATGTGTGTGGGCACTCCGTTACTGGGTCAAAATTCGGGACCGACAATCCCCATGGGCCATGTGCTATATACTATAGTATATCCTGCCTACCAAATAAATTAATTATTTTGGCAAATTTTGCTAGATTTTTATTATTCATTCAATTTTAAAAAAATATATATATAATAATAATATATTATATAAAAAAATTAATTTTAAATTTATATTGTATTCTCTCGGTTCTGGATACCATGTCCACTGTAGATACATGAATCTAAAAGAGATATAATTGATAAATAATTTAGAATTTATTATAGATTAAAATTAAAATAATTCATTAATTTAATTAAAATTAAAAAATTATAAATTTAAAAATAAGATTAAAGTATATAAATTTTTTTAAAAAATAAAAGTGATAAAATAAATAAAACAGACGAAAATGAAAAAATGGATATAGTAAATATGACGGATCAGATCGGATCCTCTATCCTGTTAACACATCATATCTCCTATCTCTATACACATAATACGTTTATATATACATACGTGTATGTATTAGTATATATAATACATACACACTTGTATATATATACATTATGTGTACGAGGATAAGGGAGTAAAATTTATTTTTAGGCCTGAAGATCCCACAAAGATGGAGAAAGTATTATATAGGGCCTGTTTGCACAGTAAATATCCTGAAATTGGGGCTGCTGCTAAATAGAACAACACATTGCAGGCTGCAGCAGCTTTATGCTTGTTTCTTTGTTTTTATTTTTTTTAAAAAAAATTATAATATACTCCCTCCGTCAAGTTAAAAAGTGTACATATTTCTATTTTGGAACGTTCAATTACAAAGTAACTATTTCATTAAATACCTCATTTTTTTCACAAATACCCCTACTTTACATCACATAATTACTTTTATACCAAAAAAATAAGGGCAAAAATGTCATTTTACTACTTTTACCTACCCACTATAATTAAAATACTATTATTCCTTAATCTCCTCGCCAAAATTAATTGTATACTTTTAGCTTGGACGGATGGAGTATAAATAATACTTTATTTAATATTTATAATAATTATAGGTTAAAAATATATATACAATATATATCATTGTGTAGAGAATAAAATTTTCTATAATACAAATAAATAAAAATTTAAAAATATATATAATGTATATAATAGAAATTCATAATCAAATCATACTACTATTAATTTTATCAATTAAATTTAATAAATATTTATATTATTAGCTATCAAAATAAATAAATATCAAAACTCTCAAAACTCAAACTAAATCCAAACACAAAAGAAAAAAATAAACTCAAATTTATCCTAAAAATTAAATAAAAATCAAACTCAAAAACAAATTTCCCCCGACCGACCTAAAGAAACATACCATAATTATTTTAATTATAAATTTTTATTATTCAAATATCATATCAAATTGCTTAGTGATCGGAGCTGATCTGTTCTAATCTGATGGAAAAGAAAAGCCTAGCCTAGAGCCTAGTGGCCATCTGTCATCATCTTCCTACATCTTTTCAGAGCGAGCATGCATGTCTGTCTACCACTTTAATTTCTCTTTATCTTTATTTTATTTCAACGCTCTTTCCGTCTCGAAACTATAGTATTAGTTGCGTTGGACACATAATTTAAAAAATATTGATATTATATTAATAACAGGTAAAAAGTATAGGTAAAATATATTTTTGCCTTTGTGAGTATATTAGTGTAAAAATAGTAGCAATTGTATAGTAATAATGAAAGAGTAAAGATAGTTATATAGTGATATGGTTATTTATGGAAATAAAACTATTGTTTTAAAATTGACAAAAATAATAAACAATATATTATATTGGAACGAAAGAAATATAATTTTTAAGATCATCATCGTCATAGTTTTTAAAATATTCAAATTGAATTTTTAGTATATATAAGAATTATTGAGAATTTCACAAATAATAAAAATAAATAATATTTAATATGATATTTTGTACTTAAATATTTGATATTCTTTCAGTCTAGCAATAAATATTATATTTTCTATTTTTTATTGTCTTTTTATCAGAGTTGTATCGTTTTATTTAGTAATTATATTCTTTAATATTAATTACAAATATCTTTTCAATTACATTTTTATTTATATATATAAATATCATTCTATTATAAATAAACTTACAATGATAAATTTATCATCTAATTCAAAATATCACAAATTTTTATTAAATTAGTACAATATTGTTTAATATTTGTCCGTCTAAAAGTAAATACAATTCTTATTGTTAGACGGAGAAAATAGTAATTTTTTTTAAAAAAACAAATTATTATTAATAAATAATATCATAAATTTTAAAATTTTTTATATAAATAGAAAATATAATTTGTTTAGATAAGATAATTGAAAATTTTTAATAATAAAAAAAAATGGAATATGTATTTTTTTCATAAACAGATAACTATCTAAGATATTTGAATATTTAAATGTGTTTCTTATCAAAATTTTCTTAAATACTTCCTTCCGTTCCAAAAATAAGTATTCATTTGCTTTTTGTACGTAATTTTAGAAATATTAGTATTATATTGAGATATAGTAGGAATAAAGTAGAAATGACCAAAATAACCTTATTAATATGTGTGATATAAAGGTAATGACATTTGTGTAATATATTGTAAGTTGTAAGGGTATTTGTAATGTTAAGTAGATAGTACAGTTACTAAAAAAAATTGATACTTTGTTATGAGACGGACTAAAATGAAAAAATAGATACTTTGTTATGGGACAAATAAAATACTATATTTGAATTTTTTTATTTTTCTTTTATATCACAAAATATATCGATAAATATTTTTTTAAAATAAAATTCAAATTAAACCATAATAAAAAATAAAAACACAGCCATCGATGAGCATTGTTAGAAATTTAAAACATATATATATATATATATATAAATCTATGACATGCCATATGTCACTCACATGTTCAATTTGATTATATTTATATTACTTGAATAAAGCAAAGATTATCAGCAACTAAATTGCTTGCCTAGAGATTCCAAAATAATGCTCTTCCTCGTTCAAATTTATATATATATATATATATTTTAAATATTATTTCAAAAAATATTTTAATTTTTTTAAGTACAAAAATTATTACATTTTTTATTTATTTTATTATAAAAAAATTCATAATTATTAATAATTTTTATTAAAATTCATGCACAGTCAAATAAGTATACAATTGCATGACCGAGGAAGTTTGGGTCAAGCCATTCAAATAGCTGTCAACTACTCCCTCCGTCCCGCATACCATGTCCACGTTGCCGTTTCTGTCCGTCCTACATTTCATGTCACTTTTATTTTTTGGAAAATGATTACACACTTTAATTTCATTTAATTTTTTTTAATTTATATTATTTTTATTTTAATTAAACTAATTAGTTATCTTAATCTTAATTTATAATTATTTATGTTATAAGATAATTATTTTTATTAATACATTATTAATTATCTACTAATTACACCTCTCCTAAATACCCTGTCTACACAGGCATGGTATATAGGACGAAGGGAGTAATTTGTATTTTCGAAAAGTGTCTTATACTACACTGTGCAATCTATTTATAATAAAAATAATTTTATATTTTTAATTCAAGTCTAATATTGAAAAAATTAAAATAAAATTAATCTAAATAAATAATTTGAGAGACCTTAAATCAACAGAGAACGTACCCCAATGGCAAAGTTGAGTGCAGAGAGTGCAGTGGTGCTGGCTAACCTAAGCCGGTAGGTCATGTTGGGGCGGACATGGAGAATATAGGGCGCGTACTGCTCACCTCCTCTAAAACTGCACGGGCTTATTCTAGCCTTGCTAAAATGCGCCGCCAGAGAGCAGTTGAATTGCCCTCTCCCGTTGATCAGCAAACTCTGTAACACATAATTTTACCCCTTAAACGGAGTAACTTTTTGTTTACACAGTATATTTTATTTTTTATTTTTTACTTTCTCTCCGAACGTTAGTTTTAAAAAAAATATGTAAAAGTAAAATTTTTTACTTTTTGAGTAAATATAAATTAAAAAAAATGATATTTTTTTATTTAAAAAAACAATAATAAATTTAAATAATAATTAAAAAAGAAAAATAAAAATAATTTTAAATGATGAAGGAAATAATTTTTACAATGAATTTAAAAATAATAAATATTTAATATAATTTTCCTATAAAAAATTCCATACATATCAAATAGGATATTCTTTTAGTCTCAAGTGAATCTATAATTTCGAATTTTTGTAGTATATTACTCGTTCCGTCTCATATTTATCTATTTATTTACTTTTTACATGGAGTTTCAAAAATATTAGTATTATATTGGGATGTAGTAGAAATAAAAGTAAAAAGACTAAACTAACCTTATTAGTATTGTATGATATAAAATTAATGACATTTGTGTAATATTTTAAAAATTTGACATTTGTGTAATATTTTAAAAATTTGAAGGGTATTTGTAATGTTAGGTAGATAGTACAATTACTAATAAAGAAAATAATTATTTTGTCATTGAACGAACCAAAATAAAAGAATTGATAAATTGTTAAGAAACGGAAAAATAAAAGATAATACTCCATCCGTTGTATTATAGTTTGCAATTTTTGTTTTCTAATAAAAGATATCTATTCATTTCTTTTAGTAAATATAGACTTCACTATATATTTCAAATACTCTAATATTTATATTTATTTATATCAATACCTACACTAATCTTACACATCATAATTATAAAATAGTACTCCCTCCGTCATTCAATTGTGTGCTCATTTGACCGGATACAAGTTTTTAAAAAAATATGTAAGAATAGAAAATTTTATTTTTTTGGTAAAGAAAAGTGGTATTTATTTATTAAAAAATGAAACGAAAGTAAATTTGAATTGGCAAAAAAAAAAAAAAAGAATAAATTTAAACGACAAATAGAGTATATATATACATCAACTACCATCATTAAAAATACCACCATTAAAAATATCAACATTAAAATTTATGTCAAAAAGTTTGGGTACATATATGAATGAGAAAAAAAAAAAATTTCTTTCTTGTCCGTTAAATTTCTTTTTACTTTTCTTTTTTGTTTGTCTGTTAAATTTATTTATTTTTTTTTATTTGTCCATTAAATTTATCTCATTACTGTATTTGAAAAAATAAAATATTTAATTATTATCTTTTATCAAACACTTATTTATAATAAATATTAGTCACTTTATTATATTCTTCCTCTATTTTCTTTAATTTCAAACTAAAATTTTTAGAAATACTTTCAACTATTTTTTTTTACTTTTTCAATATAATATTTATTTTTATTAATCCGCGTGTCGAGTCCAAATTGACTAAATTCCACGGACGAATAGAGCAATATTTTATTAACGAGTGAAAGTATATAAAAAAATTTAAGCAATTATTTCATTGTAATTAAGGTTTGTTTTTTCTTTTCTTCATTTTAAATTAAAATTGATACTATTTATTCTGTATAGTTTTCAATAGACATATACTTATTTTTATTATAAAATATTATATCAAAATATTATTTAAATAAATATTAAAATCAATTTTAAATTACAACTAAATCAAACCAACTCATTATTCACACTTATATTATAACTTTATTTAAATATTGACAATTATTTTTAATTTATAAAAAATAAAAAAATATTTTAATATTTATGAAAAATTCTTTTTTATTATAACAAAATATATGCATTTGAATCTTAATTGAATTAGAGGGTATATGCCGACGCTTTTTTGTGAGCTACTAAACAAAAAAAAAAAAAAAAAAAAAAAAAAAAAAAAGAAAAGGGGGTGGGGTAGGATAGGGGTAGGGTAGTGGGGCAGAGAGACGTTACCTGAGGCTCACCGATCCAACGCATGGGAGCGGAGGAGAGGTCAAGGTCCTGGTCGTGAGAGGACTTATGCCACCAATCACTGAGCAGGAGATTGAACTCTCCGTCGTAGCGGAATGGCTCCGTCTCTCCCTCTGCCACGTCGACAATCAGGGATCCGTACAGACCCGCCGATCTTTGCATTCCGTAGTGCCCATGATAGAAGTATGTGCCCGCCTGCATCCAAGTAGGAGTATTCTAAAATTTGAAAAATATATCATTACGATTATTCAAAAAATATATATATTAATATATTATTATTTTTAAATTTATTTATTTATTTTTTATAATAGTATTAAAAATTGATTATTTTTCATATTATAGATAACTAAAAAAAGATATATAAATTGTTGAGTTATAAATATATATCAAATAATTTTAATAAATAAGTGAAAATAATAATAAAATACGATTTATAATATAACTATATTGAAAAAAGGGTCGTGAACATTGTCTACAACATGACTGTGTTGAAAACAAGACCATGAACATAGATCGGAACATGACTGTATTATGAACACGTGCATACATATCGGTAGAAATACGGTCGTGTTCAAAAGTGCAAGGTAATCAACACGGCTGTGTTGAGTCCAACAAGGCCGTGCTGAACCCAACAAGGCTTTGTTGATTGTCTAAGAAGCCCAGTTTACCCTGTTGAGTCATACAATACGGCCGTGTTCAGTCCAAGTCAATCATCGTTAAACTAAAATTGATAAATTTTTATTTGAGTGACACCAAAATTGATAAAAAAAAATTCAGTGAAACCAAAATTGATAAAAACTTTTCAATGGGACAAAAATTGATAATTTTAAATGAGACCAAAAATAATTTTTGCTCTACTTATATATATTTTAAAAATTAGCTAATACTTTGTACTGAATAAATAAATAAATAACCTTACTTTTTTAAAAACTCTCTTGACGCTATTACAGTGATTTTTTTAGATTGATGTTACAAGGTCCCGGACCTTTCCAAAAATAGAAAGGTGTGAGCCAAAGTCTTGAGCACACTTAGGATTCGTTAATACAATTAACATAAAATAATCAAATATTTTATGAAAAAAAAAAAAACTATTTAATTTCGATATACGTTTAGATATTTATTATTAATAATTGCGTCGTGTACTAAAGCCATAAATTTTGGAGCCTTCCAATTATTAATGGCCAAAAGTAGTATGGATGTGCGCCATATTAATCATTGAAAAATATAACAAGTATTTACTTTTTATTTTATTTTTATTTTTAGGGAGTTTTTGTTTGGAAGTTTGAATTTTGAGCTGATATTTGAATAGTAAAATTTTTAAATTTGAATAGTTGTATGATGTGATATAAATAGGTGTTGATGTGATATTTTGAATGTAAAATTGATTTTTAGTATAATATAAAAAATTAAAAATAAGTGTTTGATTTGATTTTTTGAAAAAAAAAATAGAACGCAACAGTGAATTTAAAATTCAATCCCAAGTAAACACACCCTTAGGGATTTTTTTTATAAGATTAAATAATATATTTTTATTAAAAATATTATTTACTATTTTATAAAAGTAAACAAAACTTTTTGAATGTAACTTCTTTTTTTTTTATTTATTTGAATTGAAAAAATTTTGCTTGAATTTTATATCTAATAATAGTATAATATTTTTATAGATATACATACTTTTTTCAAAATAATGAAAACTATAGAACTTTTATCAAATAAATATATCTTTTATTCTTGGACGACTTGGAAAATAAAGGTGTTTTGTTTTTTTATTTCAAATAAAAAAATATTATTATTCAACCACAACGAATTTTAATATAAAAATAAATTATTTTTTAATAAAATATTTTAAATAAAAATTTAAAATAATATTTTATTTTAAATTAATTTTCAAATACAGTCAAATAAATCCAGATATTTGTTTGTTTTTCTTTATTTTCAAACATATTTTAATACTATTTTTTGTACGATTTTTTATAAAAAAATAATATTTTTTATAAAATATTATATTAAAATATGTTATTTAAAATAAGTTTAAATCAAATATTTAATTTTAAATTATAATCAAACATACATAGAAATCTGAAATTAATAATAATAATAATAATAATAATAATAATATATGATATGGAGTAGGTGTAAGTAAAGTACCTTGGGAACCTTAAACCTGTAGACAAATGTTTCTCCTGCATTAATAGGACACTGTGAGATGGACGCTGTCCCATCTGCCCATGGTGTTCCAATCTGCCCATTCAAATTTATTCTTCACCGGTCAACTTACAAAGTATACATATTTCTATTTTGAAACGTCTAATTACAAAGTAATTATTTTATTAAATACCCTATTTTCTCCACAAATACTCATAATTTACATCACATCATTACTTTTATACCAACAAAGTAAATGCAAAAATATCATTTTACTACTTTTACCTACCAACTATAATTAAAATAATATTATTCCTTAATCTCTGCGCCAAAAGTAATTATATACTTTTAGCTTGGACGGAGAGAGTATTATTATTATTAATGGTTACTTTATCATTTATTTAAATTTATGTTCATTTTCTTTTTTTTATTGTCATAAAAAAATATTTTCATTTTTTAAAAAGAAAATTATTATATTTTTATATTTTTTTTACTATAAAAAATAATAATTATTAAAATTCATGTCTGGTCAAACGAGTACACATTTGTATGATATAAAAAATATTTTTTTTTTTTAAATAATGGTTAGTTGCAAAGAGACATTGACATGAAGCACTTCATGCAATGCAGATGCATACATATATATATATATATATCTTCCAACTCAAATCATACTAATTAACATACAATCACAATGAGTGAGTGGTGTACAGCTATTCATCATTCAAATAATTCAATTTGGTGGGCTCTTTACATGTATAGATATATAACTATCATAACTATATATGTATATTATCTTCTAATTAATTATTGAGAGTTAAGTCTTGTTAAGTCACAATTCGTAAAAACAAAAGTAGATTTAGACGCCCTAGTTTACAGGTAATAGGTTCGATTGGGGTTTACCGGTGCGCATTTTCGGGTAGCAACTGCGGATTTCCACATCATCAAACAAAAAAAAAAAAAAAAAAAAAGTAGATTTAGACTCCCTATAAGGAATAGTATGACTTTCCTTATTAGGCTTAGTTTGGAGAATATTAAGTTCGATCGGAGTTTATCCAGTGCGCACTTTCGAAGTAGCGGTCGCGGATTCCAACATCATTAAAAAAAAATAAAAATAAGGGTTTTCTTTATTTTGTATTTGTGTTTGCATTTGGTTTTCAGATTAAAAAAATTAGTGAATATGAGAATCAATATATTTTTATATAAATAAATCAAAACTGGTAGAATTTAAATTAAAAAAGAAAAAAGATACCTGTGGGATGCCATGCCAGTGGATGACGAGTCCCTCAGTGGTGAGCTTGTTGGTGAGCTCAACGTTTATGGTGTCACCGGCCCGAGCCCGAATGGTTGGGCCCGGGAAGCGGCCATTGATGGCCAAGACGGTACCTTCGACGCCGTCGGGGGACCAGTGCTTGTACTCCACGTGCCATTTGAAATGCTTAATTGTGGCAGCCATGGATGAGGATGAAGATGAAGAGGAGAATAATAATATTACAAGAAGGAGGACAACACCAAACATACTGCGACTGTAAGAGACCATCGGGATTAATATTACTCTCTGTGTTTTCGAATTACTCATTATAAGAAGGTCCATCTTATTCATTCTCATTCTTATATGTATATATAATTAGATCACTTCAAATGCCTAATAGCATGCATTACTCATAATCATATATATATATATATAGTATAAGGTTTGATTATGGAAAGTTTGGGGATGGATAAGAAGAGAAGATGAAGTTAGGGCTAATTACTGTGTATATATATATATATATAGAGAGAGAGAGAGAGAGAGAGAGAATAAGAAAGAGAGAGTGTATTTCTATTATACTACTACTATTACTATATATGTATATATAGAGAATTGAGTAGATCACTACAAAAAAAAAAAAAAAAAAAAATAGTATATTTGTAACGGAATTCTGTCACTAAAGATCACGTAGCTAACGTAATTTCATCATTAATTCCGTCTCTAATATCATTAGTAACAGAAAAAGTGAATTTAAAGGCGAAAAAATTTCGTTACAAAATTGATATTTTCTTATAGTGGATATAGTAATGGAGTATTTGATTGGGTAAAGTATTTTTGTAATTTGTGATTGTTTAGTAAAAAGTTTAATAGAAAATAAATATTCCATACATGCACAATAATTATCCTATTATTGTTTTAGTATGTCCAAAATTTATCCATAATTTATTTGGGAAAGGACACCAAGTATAGAAAGAACATACATGTGTCTTTATTACATATAAATATGTAAATATTGTAAGTGGACAGAGGGAGTATATTTACTATGAATAGTTAAACAAGTCAGAAATGACTTAGTTAAGCTGTATGATATATGTACAATCGTAGTCCAACATCCACTTGTAGATGTCTAAACAAGTCATTAGTGACTAAGTTATATATATTGGTTGTTAGAGTATATGATTGCTATATGATTGTTGCCTCAAACCTGACTTGGTCTAGGAAATCATACTAGTTGTGTACCTACTGCTACTTCATTTAGAGAATTCTCCATCGTTGTAGGAACTCAACTAAATTTAAATATACATGTTACTTTACAAATAATACATTTGTAATGTATATATATACTCATAAAAACAGTGTTAATACTTGAGTACTTTATTCACGTAATTACATCTATTATCTTTATGTCTTATTTCATTTTTCACATACCCATATACACATCTTACATACTCCTGATACACATACTCATGCCCGTACTTTCCGTTCATGTACCATGGTGCAATGAATTTATAAAAAAGTTTCAATGCATATTGTTGTTGTATATTTCCATGATACACTTTGAAAGTGACGAGGACATGGCCGGATACCTTCCTAGGCATAAGATCTTCGATCTCAAATCCAATTGAGTGAAGTGGATCATCCAAATCCTTAGTCTTGGATAATGATGATGATGATTGTGGATGCCCTTGTCGATCTATATCCTTCAATTGTCTTCGAACAGAACAAAACAAATTCAAAATTTGTCTTGTCCTAAATTAGATCCAGTTTTTCAAAAAAACTTTAATATACTACAAACCTGAGAAAAATCAGCAACTATTATAATGTAGACAAAGAAAACAAATTCAAGATCTATGTTGTCCTAAATTAGATCCAGTCGTTCAAAAAAACTTTTCTATACTACAAATCTGAGAAAAATCAACAACTATCATAATGTAAACATAAAATACACGAGCGAACCATCCAAAATAATATTTTCCAAATAAGAAAAAGTAACAAAAAGCAAAAAATGACCGATTATTGTAGAATTTCTTTAAAAATTGATATGTATATCAAACCAAATAAAAAGCAGACGAATATCAACAAAGGATCTGGATGAAACTTCACTAATTACACCTATATACATACATAAATAGAGTCTGTGTTCATTGACTTTCAAATATCTCAACTTCATAAAATTTAAATACAAATTTAAATATATGAACTCCATATATCCCAAATATTACAAAACTAAATAATTAAGTAAATATGAAAAAAAAAAAAAAAATAGAAGAGAGATGACTTACAAATCCATCTTGTCCATACCCAACAACAACTCATCAAAATGTTTCAAAGGAAAAGAAAACATCAGTCCAACCAAATCTGATTTTATAACAACAACTAAACTTAAAAATAAATCCAACTCAATTTGAATTTTATCAACATGAAAAACATAATCAACAAACATAACATCATCACAAATCCTTTTCACCTTACAAAATATCAACAAAGTCTAATTACATTTATAAAAACGAAACACAAACAAACAAATCATCAGCTATAACACGCACCACATAAAATAAGAAAATAAATCGCACATCTCTATAACCACTTTGCATGGTGATTCTTCACCAAACGCAACATTGCAATAAACAAGAACGAGGAAACGCAACTACAAGCATCAATTATACGAAAAATTTCAGCAAAGTTAGTAAAGAAAACTCCATAGATAGGGAATTGGTGTGCAATAAATAGAAGCAACTAAAAATTAGGTTGTTGTGAATTTATACTCGGTTCGATGGATTCTTCAAATTAAACCTTGTAAACAAAAGTACAAATTAAATTAGCGGAAACGAAATTCGAATAAACCCAAATAATGATATCGAACCGAAATTGAAATCAAACCATAATATTAAAACTAAAACATAATTAAACACATTGCATCATTGGAATTAAGAGAGTATGAATCATAAAAATTAAATCAAGTAAACATTTGGAAAAAAGCAATCTGGAATCAAAGAAACCAAACAAAGAAAACCTAAAATGGAATTGAGAAATTAATTCAACTCCCATGATTGTGCTTTGATATTGCCCAGCCGATATCAACTTTCGATTCTTCCCGGTTCGATTCTAACTTTCCGATGAGACTCAAAAGACAAAAATATTCCCAATCGACGAACCTTTTAGTTGATTTAATCATCGATTTCAACCAAGACAAGGGGAAAGGGAACACATCACGGCTCCATGAATAATTGCAGAGGGTTCAAAGATAGAATCACTGATTCTCTAAACCCTCGGTCGATCTTCGCTTGATGGAGGACAACCGGAAGATATGGAAAGAGAAATAGGAATTTGAGAGGGCTGGACATTGGCCGACTGGACATCAGTGTTGATTTCGCGATCTTCAGTGCCGCTTGCCAGATCTTTTGTGTTGATTTTGCGCGAAAAATAACGGACGATTAGGAAGATGAAGAGGAAATTGAGATGGAGAGTAAGAACGAAGTGAAATAAAAAATGGGGGAGTGCAGTGTAAAATAGTAATAACAGGGACTGATCTTAAATAATTTGTGGAATTGGGGATTTATCTCCAATTGTCGGTAAATTAAATTAATATTATTTTTCATGGCACAATATTTTTTAAATAAATTAATAAACTCATTGTTTTAAATTGTTATTTATTATAAATTTTATTTCAATTATAAAATTATCGGGATGACAATGAGTCGGGTTCAGCCGAAACTGAGATCCGTCCCCAATATATATTGTTATACTCTAGACCCAAATTGGATCTGATTATACCGGATCCGGCCGAAACTATACCCGGTAAGACCCGATGGATCTAACAAATCCAATTTTTTTTACGATTCTTAAATTTTAATTTAAAATTACGCATGAGCCGGACCCAATATATATTAAAATCTATGTATTTTATTAAAAAAATATTATAATAAAATAATAAATAAATTAAACTTAAAAAGTTATTTTTAATATAATGTATAGTCGATATATTATTAATATTATAAATCGAGTCCGAGTGCGGGTAGAGTCCGCTTAGACCCTAGACCCGATTCGGACCCGATTATAATATCCAGAACATGACCCGGATCTAGACATAATACTCAAATAATTGGACTCAACTTCAAATAAATAGGTCGGGCCCGAGTCGGATCTCGAGTTTACGCTAACCTAGTGTAATCCCTATATTTTCAAATAATTTTGAGTTTTTTTATATTAAAATATAATATTTTCTAATAAAATATTATATATATATAATAAAAAAATATATTAAAATGTTATATTTCGGACTTCGGATTAGTTCGGATTTTAAGTATACCGATCCGATCCGATCTGAAAATCCAAAATTTGTCAAAAATTCAATCCGAAAATCCGAACCAAATTTTAAATTTCGATTTAGTTTGAATCGAATTTTCAAATTTCGAATATTTTGCTCAATCCTACTATGAATGATGAAATTTAGCTTTAGCATGCTATACAACTTGGCTGTGCTTCTGTACGACATTCATTCACCACAAAAAAAAAAAAAAAAAAAAAAAAAAACAAAGAATCGATAAAAGTAGAATGATTTCACGTGGGGTTTCTTGGGTCAAAAAGAAGAATAAAGATTTCTTGGGTCAAAAAGAAGAATAAAGAAATGTGAGAGCAATAATGGCTAAAGAATTTCCATTCCATTTTTAAGAAGCCTTTCTGTCCAATTCAACCGAATTGTTAATCCAATTGCAGCTATATATATATATTTCTAGACGGTTAGGGTACTGGCAAATAAATATAATGTTAATTTGATCAAGTAAACATGCTAACATACAATAATTAATGTTTCTTTTATAAATCAAATAACATAAAATCAGATTAAATTAGCGCACTAATTCGAAGTAAATAGCATTTTATCACAAGATAGTAATATATTATATATTATGTAGAAATATGTGTTGTGTAGATTATATATATATTATGCTGAAATTAATATATATCGTATTACATAAAATTATATAATATGATATATATATATTGTATTAACGTTTGATACGTGGTTTATATATTGTGATGTGTTGCATATGCATAATCTGCTTATTGTGTTGAATTTAAAATATATTATATTACATATAATTATATAATATGCCACGACCGAACTAAAATTCGAATAAAGGGGGGGCTAATTTTTTTTTTTTTTTTTCAAAAATTCGATATACCGAAAAATAGGTATGATAAATATATGTATTGGTAGTTTGTGTAATGCTTTGATTTCGGAGTGTATAAAATAATATTGTTATAGCAAATAAATATTTTTATAATATTTTGAAATAAAAAAATTAATATTATAAAATAAATTTTAGTCTTATTTTATATATTGATTATAATTATTGAAACTGTTAAATAAATTAATATCGATAAGGATAAATATAAAATATAATATATAATAATATACTAATAAAATTAAATGTGATGCGGCGAAGATAATGTTTATAATAATAATAATAATAATAATAATAATAACGACAACGTTATTAATAATAATATATATAATAATAATAATAGTATTACATATATAAGAAACC